TTGTGGATTGCAATCAGGTGTCAAGCTTGTGTGGCAAGTGCCTTCACCCGTGGAACCATCTTGCAGCCCTAGGAAAGGATTTTTCAGCAAAGGTCAGACACAGCAAGAGAAAGCCGTATGTACTTTAGCCACAGTGAAGGTAACAGCTGGCAGTCTGCCAGAGTTGGATGTCTCTATCCTCTATGTGGGACCAGGGATTGAACTCAGGTTGTCAGTCTTGGTAGCAAGTGCCTTTATCCACGAAGCCATCCAGCCAGCCCAAGAACTTCATTTTATAGCAGCAAGAGAATTGACTTTACAAGGAATCAGCTTGTACATCGGAGGAAGAAGAAAAGCACAAAGTCAGTGTCTTAGCTTTCCTGCTATTTAAAGTGGTTCAGCCTAAATGTAATTGCAAGGAATGGAAGGCAGGGAAGCTGCCATCTTGCTGTGCTTTCCTTAGGATCTTGAGGTTTTGCTTCTCTCTCTCTTTAAATTCTTTTTTTTTTTTTTGAAAGATTCATTTATTATGTATACAGTGTTCTGTCTGTGTACAAGAAGAGGGCACCAGATCTCATTACAGATGGCTGTGAGCCACCATGTGGTTGGTAGGAATTGAACTCAGGACCTCTGGAAGAGCAGCCAGTGCCCTTAACCGCTGAGCCCTCTCCAACCCAGTTTTGCTTTTCTTGGCTAACAGTTCAGTGAGGTCTAGTGGCACATGCCTGTAACCTCAGCGCTTGGAAACTTGATGGAGGAGGACTCTGAGGTCAGCTTAGGATGCATAGTGAGACCCTTTGTCTCAGCAGCAACAACAGAAGGTCCCAAGTTGGTTCTTGTGTACAGAAATAGCCTCGATAATTAAGAGAAGATAGACAGGTCTTTTTAAAAATAACTTCTTGTGGGCTGGAGAGATGGCTCAGAGGTTAAGACCACTGACTGTTCTTCCAAAGGTCCTGAGTTCAATTCCCAGCAACCACATGGTGGCTGAAAACCATCTGTAATGAGATCTGGTTCCCTCTTTGGGCCTGCAGGGATACATGCAGGCAGAATACTGTCTACGTAATAAATAAAAAATAATTTCATGTATATGAGTGTTTTGTTTGCATGTATGTCTGTGTAATATGTTATCTAATACCCATGGAAGCTAGAACAGGGCATTGAGGATGCCCTAGGAACTGAGTTATAGAGACTTGTGAGTCCCCATGTGGGTGCTGGGAATCAAACTCGGATCCTCTGGAAGAGCAGCCAGTGCTCTTAATCACTGAGCCACCTCTCCAGTCCCCTAGACTGATCTTATAACCATGACTCTGCCTCTGTTGAGAGCTTGTTTGGCTGAATTCTGAAGCTTGTGGCACAAGAAGAGCAGATAGATGCCAGGCAGGTTGAAAGAGGGGTGTAATGAAGCCATGTGTGGTGGTGTATACCTGTCATGCTAGTACTCAGAAGTCTGAGGCAGAAGGATTGCAAGTTTGATAATGGTGCTGTTAGAATAGTGGTGGGCCAGGCATTGGTAATCTTGCATAAATGGAATAAAGTAGCAAGAACAGAAAGAATGTTCTGGAGAGGAAAAACAGGAATTTAGGATAATAAGTTGTGGAGTATGAAATAACCTTATGTGTAACCCTAGAAGCACATGGTTGAAGTCATTCCAGAGCAAGATGGTTCAGTGGTAAAGTATTTGCCATCAAGCCTGACAACTGAGTTCGTTTCCAGAAATCTACACGGAGAGAACTGACGCCTGCAGGTTGTCCTCTGACTTCCACGTGTGCACTCAACACTCCCACACACATACACACACTAGATAAATTTTAAGTGGGTAAAAATAAAGAGCTGTAAACGTGGGCCTGATGATACAAGCCGTAATCTCTGACACTTAGGAACTGGAGGCAGGAGGGTGAAAATCCAAGGCCTGGTTGCCTATACAGTGAATTCAAGGCAAGTCTGAAAAACATACCCTGTCAATCAAAAGTGAGAAGGGTACAGGAGTTGGGGAGTTGGGGAAATGACAGTGGTAAAGGCACTTGCTACCCATGCTGACACCTGCTTTTGGTTCCTGGACCTTGTGGTGGAAAGAACCAACTCCTGAAAGTTGTCTTCCGGTCTCCACTTACGCCTCAACCCCATCATGCTCACACACACATGATAAATGTCATTTTAAGAAATGGATTGCAGGGCTAGAGAGGTGACTCAGCAGTTAAGAGCACGTGTTGCTCTTGTAGAGGACCAGGGTTTGGTTCACAGCAACCACATGGAGGCTCACCACTACCCCTAACTCCAGTTCTAGGGGCCTGGCACCTGAGCTCTATGGGTACCAGCTACACATGTAGGGAAAAGACTCAGAACTGAAAGCAGGACTAGGGATATATATATGTCAGCAGTGAAGTGCTTGCCTGGCATGTAAGAGGCCCCAGTAGTACCAAGTAAGAAAATAAAAATAACCATATGATTATTGCATGGGTACTGGGAGATTTTCCGAGAACAATAAAAATCTTCCAGGTGCTGGTGGCATACATGGTAGTGGGAAATGGAGCCCGGTGCCAAATCTAGGACATTTGGTGCATTGACTGCATCATACCTAAAGAACAGTAAAAGTTACAATAGCTAGGACCGTACATTTTGACGGTGAGGGGTTTTGTGTGAGACAGGAAGGAGCAATGGTGCAGGAACAGGAGTGAGAAGCTGAGAGGTCATCTTCTAACCCCTTGTAAAAGTCTGTGGAGTAGAAGTATCCTTGTGAAGTTTTCTCCAAGTCTAGGAAGTGAACAGTTCAGAGAAGAGACTAGTCAATGCACGTTCCTCTCCCACCCCACTTCCCACCTTTTTGTGTGTGATGATAAATGCTAGCATAGCGAATGTTGGCTTTACCCTTCCTAGGATGACCATTCAGTCCTCAGGGTGGGGTCTGGCTCAGTGGGCAAAGCACTTGTGCAATTTCAGATTCTCAGCACGCACATAAAAGCTGCATAGGTGTGGTGAGTCTATCTCTAATCTCAGCCCTTGGCAGGGGAGCTAGGGCATCCCAAAGATGAGCCAATTAGCCAGACTAGCCTAATGAGCAAGCTCCAAGCTTGGTGAGAGATCCTACCTTAGTGAATAAAATGGAGAGTAATTGATGTATGTGACTTCTTACATCAGTCTCTGGCCTCCACACACTCATGTAAACATGCATAAGTGTACAAATCACAGCATTCACCCCTACAACCGAAGTCCTTGACCTGGGCCTGCACCTATGCACTAGGCCCACAGCTCTCCTTAAGCTACAGAGTTCCAAGAAGGAGTTAGCTGTCTTCTTTTTTTCTGTTACAGCTTGTACTTGGTATAGGACTTCAATTTATCCTGGGTATTTTAGTTAAGTGACTGGGGTGAGAGGGTGAAGTTGCAAGCAGTTGATTATTAAGATGTAACAAGCTAATGGAATCTGAGCATGGTGATCCATACATGTAATCTTGTCACTTGGGAGGCTGAAGCAAGAGGATTGCTGCAAGTTCAAGACCAGCCTGGATTATATAGTTTCAGGCCAGTCTAATCCACAGAGTGAGACCCGATCATAAGTTTGTTTTCCCTCCCACCCTCCCTCTCATTTGTGTGTATGGGTGTTTTGCTGTGCATCTGTGTCCCATGTGTGTCTGGTGGAAGCCAGAAGAGGGGCATCTCCTAGAACTGGAGTTAGAGAAGGTTGTGAGCCACCACCTGGGTGCTGGGAATCCACCCAGGTCCTCTGGAAGCACAGTCAGTGCTCCCCTGTGGAACCATCTCTCCAGCAACCCCTCTCATCAATTGCTTTTAGAAGCAAAACCAAAATTTATGGAAGATTTGTGAGATCTGATCTTGTAGTAACAACAACAGAATGATGTCAGATAGAAGAAACTAGCACTGTGAGTCTGACGCCTTATGGTTTAATTTGTCTGTTGATTTTGGTGACCCTCATGTCCTCCTCTAACCAATAGTTCCACCCCAAGAATTATACTTTATATGATTTATTAGAGTACATTTTTAAAGCATAACAGTCTCTTAATTACACTTAAATTTCTCTATGGGTATGTTTAATATATTTTTTAATGAATAGAAAACATTTTGATTATATCTTTGGAAACATTTGTAGAGTTCAGAAACAGCTTGCAATCAATCATATGGCTGCCAATAGGGTCCTTTGAAAAAAAAGTGCTTTACTTTGCAGAATTATAAGCCAGAAAGTACAATGGCATTATGTCAGTTCAAAGCATTGGGGTTCATCACATGACTGAATTCATGACTTCTTACATTAGCTACCTCCTTTTTGACCCACGTTGACAACCAACCTCTGCATTGCTCATGCATTGCTCATGTACCTCAAGCTAAGTGAGCTGTGTGCCAATCATCTTGTACTGCCTGGACCGGTGCTGGTCTCAGCCAATCAGCCTTCTGCCATCTCCCTTTCCTCTTGCCTAGAAAGGTGCATTTCCTCCCTCTTCCACCTCTGTTTGGCTAGGAAAGGAGGGCACGTTCTTTGTCATTACACATTTTGAGCTGACCTTCCTCTTTGAAATGCCTGAAATCACACTCTTGGCCAGCAAATCCCAAGATGCATGTTGTCATCAAGTAGGACCAGCTGTGATAGAAGGTAGTCCTAATCTATGTAAGCAGGAACTGGGCCTACTGGAAACATCTTCTATTCCAATCCCAGACAAACAAATCTTATAGTCTCCAGGGCTTCTTAAGGGAGGAACATAAGGCCTGGTAGACAAATGACCTACCAACCTAATTTCAGCCACATGTGATTGTTGTTATGTGCTAAACACTACATGAAATTAACTGTTTGTCCTGGGCCTATCTGTGACTTCATCAATAACAGAATTAACTCCATTTTTTGATGATCAGAGTCTCTCAAATCCTTTCTTAAGGTGTGTGGAATCTGATCCTACTTGGTTTATAAGTAGACATCCAACAGACCTTACAACCAATGAGGACCATGCAAACCATCAGAAATACTTAGTTCATTTTCACTCTGATCTTTAAAAACAAAGTTCTCAACACCCAAGTGTCTCACTCATACATTTTATTGGATTTGCAGTTCTGCTTAGTTAGATTATTTAAAATTAGTAGGTCATTTGAATACTGTTAGCATTCCTACTGAAAGGTGCTGGTTGCTGCTTTCTGCCTTTTCTCGGCATCTGTTGGTTCTCACCCTGCTCCCAGTTATTCCAGGCTGTTCGATTTGCCAGTGCCCCTCCTCCTCTTCTTCTTCAGACTCCTCCAGGCGTGTAGGAGTGCTAAGGTAACTAGCGCCCTGTTACCAAGCTTTCAATAACTACTGGATGAGGATGCTGACATTGACATTTTTAGTGTCTCCAGAATCCAGAATTTTAACTTGGGCACGATTAAGGCTTAGATTAAGCTAATAGTGTATTTCATAATGATGTCTTGGTCAGATCTTTTCATATTTTAGGAGTAGAGAATAAAAATTAAATGTTCTTTCTCCACTCCATTTTGGCAAAAGGGGGAGGGGGGAAGTCCCAGGAGGACTATTTTGTAAATAAATATGGATTATTGTCTTAAGCAACAATAACATGCCAAAAAAGGGTACATGTCTGCATTCCACTTGAACTTCAGTCTTTAAAATGAGCTACCCCATGTTGAGGACTGGCAATTGCTCTGAAGAGTCACTCTCTTCTCTTGGCATCTCAGCAGATCCCGACACCAGTCGTCCTTCCCCCTGGGCCTGGATGGAAGCAAGCAGGCCGATTCCCACTTGGCCATTCTCACGGGTCCCATATGAGAGTCCCAGGTGTTGCCAAATGGTGACCCCAGGGCATCTCAAGGAACAACTTCTTTGCCGTGGAATGGGATTTCATCAATGCCAGGCTCACCCAGCCCACAAAATCTATGAATATGTGTGTGACAGTTGGCTGTAAGACCATCAGAAAAGAGGACCACACTGTAGAAGCAGTACACTGAGATGGTAAAACCTCCAAGCCTTTCTGGAATTGATGGGCTAAGAGAACTTGAAGTAAGGAATATTTCCAAACAGGTGTCAGTGGGTCATGGAGACACCCACATGCCCATTCTCCTGAAGGTGATGTCATAAATGAATGGTATCTAAAGGAGCATGGCAGTCATTTTAGAAATCAATCCTCAGAACTGAAGTCATTTGTCAGCATGTAAACGATGGCTTCTGTCTACCTGCCAGTACAAATGCATCCTAGAAGTATTAGACAACTTAAAATAATCACTAAGTAGTTTCAGTGTTTCGGTGGTTGGCTCTTTTCCTCTCATGTTCTAACTGGAGCAAGTCTATTAAAGCACACCATAAGTACACTGAGGCCGAAATGAAGCTTGATAAGGCAGGAACGCACTTTTTAAATCTTCAGAACATGGCCTTTCTCATCTCTCCACTGTTGGGGACTATTATTTTAAGGGGTGTTACTTTTGTTTATGGTGCATTTGTTTAACTCTGTGAAGCTGTGTTACTGTGCCTGTCTAAAACACCTGATGGTCTAATAAAGAACTGAACAGCCAATAGGTAAGCAGGAGAGGGAAATGGGCGGGGCTGGCAGGCAGAGAGGATAGACAGAATGAGAAATCTGGAAGAGGAGAAGAGCGAGCCAGAGAAGGAGGAGGAGTACTCTAGGGGCCAGCCACACAGCTACACAACAAGCCATGGAGTAAGAGTAAGATTTACAGAAGTGAGAGAATGGGAAAAGCCCAGAGGCAAAAGATAGACAGGATAATTTAAGTTAAGGAAAGCTGGCAACACTCTACACCATATTTCTTCACACTTTGTCACTAGGGGGAAATGCTGTGTCCTAAGACTTCTCGTGGGGTTGACATCTCAGTGGCTGTTGGTCCAATGCTTTCCTCATCCAATGAGAAAGCAAAGGCTGAAGACCTACCTTCCCTTGCTCCCTCACGTGGGCTCACTCTCCTTAGTGGACTTACTAGTTGTCTTTGCCCCAGGCACTGGCTTAAAAGGAGTGGGTCAAGATTTCCACTCTTTAGGGTTAACCAGGGAGGGAAGGGCGAGCATGACATCTGTGATAGGGCGTCTGCTTCCACATTCCCCCCAGGATGACTTCAGCTTAGCCGCTATCCAGTCCAGTACTGACTCTGATTGTGGGGTCAGCCCAGAGGTACTGCTAGTCTTTGGATAAACTTGACCAACGCCTGAGCTTCCGGACAGAGTTCAGCCAGGCTGGAGTCTGAGAAGTGCCCTATGAAGCCTTGGAAGGGAAGCACAAGAACTCTTCCAGCAAGCGTAAGGAACAGCAGATTGAGTTATTGCATCTGTTTGTGTCTAGACAGCAAGGCTGAGTTTAGGTGGATGGTGGATGGGGAATTAAGACAGAGAGAGGTGTCTCAAGCCTGCCCTTGAGTGATAGTGAGAGACTGAGAAAGGGAGGGAGCCACTGGCTAAAGGCAGTGCCTCTTTGACAAATGTGAGTGACAGTGACAGCCACTCTGCTGGGGCGCCTCATTGCCTCCTCTCCTGTCATCCTGGGCCCAGACAGCTTAGTGCTGGAGAGTAAAGCTGAGCTCCAGTTTTTCTCCCTGATGCCTGGCCAACTTAAACACGTCAGGTCCGTAAAGAAGTTGTGCCGTTCTGTGAGGCTTTTCCTATGACATGTGGCACTTGGATTCTGGTACTATTAAGAAAGCAGACAAGTCACTCCTGCATACCTATATGACTTCTCAGTCCTGGCGCAGTCCTCAGTCTGCCAAGCTGCTGGATTTGGTAATCCGAGTTCAGCACAGTGGCAGGGGGAGTCACAATAAAGCCAGCACCAGGAAGCGTTCGTGGGTGGTACCAATTCTGACTTCATGGATCACCTCGAACAGGTTTGCAGCCACTCCAGGGAGAGAGCACAAGGAAGTCCCCCCACCTGGATATCTTAAGTGCATGTTAGTTTGCATTTTCAGATCTGCTTCTATCTAGGGGCAATACACTTTTACAGAGCTTATTAGAAAACTGGTCTAAAAGAACACATACTGTAAAGAACATAAAAAAGCACAAAGACACCTTCAATCGTAACAGGAAGATTTTTCTGACTCAGGCAAAGAATTTTTCTTTCTTTCAAGGGATACTAACACAGCCAGCTCTTGACAGTAATAGATAATGGCAATGGAGGAATAATGTGACTCACAGACGAGCCCCAGTTTCTATCCGAGGCAAGCATTCCATCCTCTTCCCCTGCCTACCTTCCCAACTTGCTTCTGTGGACTTACTTAAATCTCACTTTTTGGTCCTTGTCTTGACCACTCTTCTGGCAAATGGACTCATGTATGGTCAAAGACAGAGAGGTGGGGGAAGTGGGAGAGGGGGGTTAGTCAGAGGCCAAAATAAGCCCCAATTTAGATAACTTGTGGCTGGAAAATGGCCAGTTGGTCCTGTAATAACTTCCAGATGAACCTGCCGTTTCTGCAGACACCAGCAGGTCCACAGGTCTCACTCTATTTGCCTCCCGCTTCTTCCATCCAGAATCACAGATCTCCGCTGGGGCTGGTAAAAACAGCTGGTTGAAGTCTCTAGTCTTTGGCCATTCTTAGGGATAGTCATTTTATTCCTAAGTGTAACCCCTTCTGGTGTGACCCATGTGTTTTCTGCCAATTCCCCACAGAGAAGGCCAGGGGAAACTGTCTGAGTGGGGCTTCTGATAGGGGACAGCAGGACCTTGGAATCTATCATTGTGGATGAGGAGGGCAGGTGGTCCATGATGGGGAATAAGATTAGGCTCTGAGGTCTTCCTGGCCTTGACCTGTGGAAAGGCTTAGGCCCCCCAGACGCTCGCTCCAGTTTTGAAGAAAGAACGTTGTCTCCTGATGGCTCGGTCTCCGATGTGCGTTTTCTGCATTGCCCCATTGCATCCTGTGTGGAGAGCAGATTGGATACCCCTGGTTCTGGAGAGCAGAAGGGCCCCTCAGACATGCAGGGTGTGGTGCTACCCTTCCTCTGCGATGCAAAGGCTCCTGCCTCTTGCTTTGGTTGCTCTTCCTCTGGGCTTTCCAGGGAGGAGGGAGAATCATCTTTGGTGGGGTTCTGAGGGGTCTCGGTGGTTGGACCAGGTTCTTCCCGGTTCCTCTCTGGAGGCTGAGCCCCACCTTCTCCTGTGCTCTGAGAGGGCAGGGGCTGTGGGATCTGTGTGTACTGAATCTTGGGTGGGATGACAGGGACAGCCTTGGCCTGACACATTTTGACCATGAAGGAGGTCCTCACAGCCGACACACTCACGGGAGCTGAATTCCGACGGCCTGTCAGAGCATGGGCAACAATGTCCAGGTCCTGGATGTCCGGGGAGTTCCAGGGGGCCGCTTTACAGTGAGAGGAGGTCATCTGGGTGACCTTGGTGTCTCTTAGTTCAGCGAGCTCTATTCCAGGTGAACTAAATGAAGCTCCATTCTCAAGCCGGAAGAGGTCAGTGATAGGAGTGGCGGAGTCCAAGTTGAGGGAAGAAGGCCTGTGTTTCCCTTTTGAGGGCCCACCCTCCGTGCTCTTGAGCTGTGACTTTAGGGGTTGCTCCCCAGGTGCGGTTCTGTCTTGAGCTCTAGGTGAACTCTCCATGCTGCTCCCTGGCTCAGGAACATCACTGTGTGTCATCTGAGAGTTGTTGAGTCCCAGCTGTGGTCCCTGCTCCTTTCCCTCTGCCAGACTGATGAAGTTGGCTTCTACTGGTTTGGGTGGTATACCAGATGGTCCCTTCTGGCTGGGAAGAACCTCTAACCCTTTCAGGCCAGAGAACTCCCTGAAGGCTTTCAGGGCTTTTTCCTCCCATCCAGCAGTCTTGTTCCTGGCTGCCGGGGGCTGCAGAGGCTCATAATTCTTCTCTGTTTCAAGATTGGCACAGCTGCTGGAGAAGGGAACCTCGAGAGTCCAGTGGCTCTTACCAGTGGTTTTGCTATCTAGAGAATGGCTCTGGCGAAGGCTGGGCCTGTGGCAAAGTCTCCTCTCCAACCTGTGGCCCTGGGGGCACTGCATCTGGGACTCCTGCACTTCTTTCAGGGTGGGGGAATGAAGAGGGCTGGTCACCCACTGGGGCTCCTCCCACGGCTCTACCATCTCCAGGCCATGCTGAGCAGCGTCTGTCACAGTGTCATCTTCGTCACAGTCTGAAGGCTCTTGGGCTGCGTGGGGGGCATCCCCCTCTTCTTGTGGGGCGACTTCCACCTCCTTTGTTGGGCTTGGAAGACCAGGGCCTTTGCTCTCAGGAACAGCATGCTTTGCATTTTGCTTCTCGTTGGGGCTTGCAGTGGTCTCCTCTCTCTGACAGAGGCTAGGGATGCCAGGGTTGTCTTTGGGTTTGGGCTGCTCTGTGTAGGGATCTGTCCTGGAGTCCGCAGATGCATCTTCTCTTTCACAACCTTCCTTTGACATCAGGACCCGAGGTTCCTCCTCCAGAGGAGTTGGAGGGGGAGGAGCAGGAGGAAGTGGAGGAGAGAGATTTCTCGGGCCTCCTATCTCTATCCTAGCTGGAGAAGACACCTTCTCAAACAGAAGTATTTGCAGAGGCGCTAGACTGGCTGGGTCTGGGGTGAACCCCGGCTCGGGCTTTGACCCAGGGAGGCTGCAGACTGGCTCCAGCTTCTCTCTGTTGGTGAGGATGGCAGCCTCCTGTATGCTCTGGTTGGCTGAGTCCCTAGTCCATACTTCCAGAGATGTAGAGCCACAGGGCGAGCTCGCAGACGCCTCTGGGAGGGGAAATGGGGCTGGACCTGACTCAGTCTTTGGGCTTGTCTTCTGAGCAGGGGGTGGTAATGACGAGAGCTCCTCCTCCGATTCAATGATTTTCAGTTCCTGTTGAATCTCGGGCCAGATCAGGGCATGAGCTAGGTCATCTTCATCCTGAAAAACAAGAAGAGGCTGGTTAGTTTTGAACCCAGAACTCTGGGTACTGATGTCTACCAAGAGTCCAGTGAGCAAGGAGGGAAGGGAGTGAGGTCCGTACTCCAGCCAATAAGGAGGCAACCATGGGTATCTGAAATATGTTGTGTCTTCCTCTTTAACTTTTTCAATGCCCTCAGAGATGATACCAGGTACTAGGCTCGTTGAATAGATTCAACAAATGACCTGAATCATACAGTAGATCAGGATGGAAATCCAGTCCTGTCCACAGTGGAACACAGTCTGCTTCTGACCTCCCTTCTCAGCCAGTTGTGTGAAGGCAATACAGACTCCATCTTAGGGGAGGGCCACCATCTTAAACTACCTGCTGTACTTAGTTCCAGGAAGAATCTCAGGAATGTGCCATGACAACTCGAACAGATACAAGGCAGTATGCTCCTGCAGACATCCTGTCTGTGGTTTATGGCCCTAGAAGATATCCAGATAATCCTGCTGAGCAGCTCAGATAACCCTGCTTAGCAAGTTGTGGTTCCCCGCCAGAAGTCCAACCCAATAGTTTCAAATGTGGTTTCCTGCCGAAAGTCTAGACCAATAGTTTCAAAAAATCACTTTGCCCCATATCCCTTCTACCCAATCCCAAGTTGCCAAAGCATGTAATTCCCAGCTTGAGGTTTTTCTCTATAAAAACTCTCTACCCCTTGGCCTGCTGCCACTGCCGAATTTCCCTCCATCTGCCTGACAGTGGCCCAGGTTCAAACCTGACAATAAAAGAGCCCTTACGTGCTTGCATCGGAAACTGACTCCTTGGCGGTCTCTGGGGGATTCACTAAACGGGTACAACAGTGAGCACATGCTGTAGTCTATCCCAGCAAGTGTTCGGTCACTGAGCTCTGTCCCGAGCCCTCCACTTTACTTATAGTGCGTTCCTTGCCCTTCATGTCTCGAGATGCAATTCTCTTGTAAGGAGAGCCATCTCAGGGAATGTCTTTCTCTCACCAGTGACTTTCTGTGAGCGTCTGATATGCTGCTGGCCTCTCTGCTCTTCACCTGGCTCTGCTTCTAGAGTACTGAGGGTTAAATCTAGGGTCTCACACATGAAGTGTGCTACACCCCTAGCCCCCATTCTCCCTTTTATCTCTTTAAACTCTCCAGTATTACTTGGACAAAAGCAACTAGGTTTTCCTTTGCTGCATTCCATTGTGAACAGTTCTGTTTACTAGTCTTTTCCTTCCTTCCTTTCTTTCTTTTTTTCTTCCTTCCTTTCTTTTTTTTATTCCTTCCTTCCTTCCTTCCTTCCTTCCTTCCTTCCTTCCTTCCTTCCTTTCCTTCCTTCCTTCCTTCCTTCCTTCCTTCCTTCCTTCCTTCCTTCTTTCTTTCTTTCTTTCTTTCTTTCTTTTTTTTTTTTGAGACAGGGTTTCTCTGTGTAGCTTTGCACCTGTCCTGAAACCCACTCTACAGCCCAGGCTGGCCTCGAACTCACAGAGATCTGCCTGCCTTTGCTTCCCGAGTGCTGGGATCAAAGGCATGCGCCACCACCACCCGGCAGCCTTTTTCTTGTTTCCTTACTTTACTCAACATTTACATTCATCAATTACTAAGAAACCCTGTTATGTTTCCTCACCCTTCCATACTTCCACTTTGCCCTGGATCCTGATTTTTTTTCCTGTGAGGCTGGCAGGGACAGGGGTGACAGTCTTGGTCATTGTAGTGACCCTAGTGCTCAGGAGAGCAGAGTGCTTACTTAGCACAAGGTGAGGATTTAGTACATAGGTTCAGTGAAGGAAAGACCTGAGGCCTTACTTGCTAACTTAAGTAAGTGACTTAACTAAGTCCCCCTAGTTCTTTCTGCACTGATGTTATCTTCCTCAAAGTGTTACCTTTTGTATTGGGACTCTCCTCATGAGACGCCAACCACCACAGAATCTCTGCCAATGCAAACATGCTCTATGGAAAACCTTGCTCAGCCCTCCCGAGGCCACCACATCACCTCAGCTTTGCCCTAACTTCCCGACATGATCCTCTTGGTGGCGGCTTCCGGAAGCAAGTTAAAGTGCTGTAGGCTCCCTTTATCTCTCAGCGTAGGCTGCTGGTCATGGTTCTTACAAAAGCAGGACTCCTCCCTGGGTGTCCCCAGAAACACCTCACACCTTCTACGTAAAGACATCTCATAAAAACACTCATGGAAAATACCACCCCTAAAGAATGGATAAGTTTTGTCAGCTTTGGGCTCAGATTTGAACTCTAAAAACACAGACTAGAGCCTGGAAGTGTCTCGGGTTTTACAGACAGCCCAGGACAAACACCAGGCTGGGATGTCAGAGAAAAGAGAATGAGGTTCATGAGTGGTCATCTTGCATGGGGCTGGGATATAAGGAGCAGCCTTTGTGATGTGTCTGAGGTTGAGTATCATACACTCTAAGGATAGAATAGTGGTTTACGGGCCAGAAATATTTAGAGTTGTGTCTGCCTTGGGAATCCGAACTGAATGGTTCCTTTGCATCATGGCGGGATCTCCCAGAGGCCTGCAGCAGAAAAACCCCAGTTTTGTTTGTTTTGAAACAGGGTCTCATACATGCCAGATTATCCTTAATGACCTGAAACCATGGTCCTCCAGTTTCCATCTCCTAAGTGATGGGATCATAGGTGTATGCCATCATTCCTGCCTAAGAAGTGAGACTTCTAAGGACTCCTTAACATTTATATAGAACTCCTAGCTACTCTCCCAGCTATATGACCACACATGCGCTGTCCAATAGCCAGGCAAGACACTTAGTCATCCCAGGGTCTTACATCCTATGTAATCTGTGCACTGCATGATCACGTAATTTGTGTGCATTGTGACCATGCAATCTATGCGCATGTGTGGTGTAGCTATGTAAGCCCACATGTGCATGTGTGGGCAGAATCTATAAAAGCAGTTCCCACTTACCCCTCCCCCTCTTCCTGCATGATCATTCCCATAGGCCTGTCACATCCCTTCTGTTCCCTTCCCTTAATAAACTCTTATAGTGGGTTTTGTCATACTTTATGGCTTTACTTGCATAGTAAACAGTGCTGCTTAATGGATAACATTGTGTCGCTTAATAAATAACACACACACACACACACACACACACACACACACACACACACACACACATGCTGCTGGTTTATATATGTATGGGGCTAGGAAGATGGCTCGGTGAGTAGAAATGCTAGCCTTGCAAACCTGACAACCTGAGCCTGGTCCCTGGAGGCCACATCAAAAGCTTGATGCGATGGTGCACATCTGTAGTCCCAACACTCTAGTGGTGAGATAAGAGGTAACAAGAAGGAAATTGCGTGGAAGCCTAGGGCCTGGTCAGCCTGCATTACACAGTGCAGCAGCAGCAGCAGCAGCAATAAGAGAAGCCCTGCCTGAACAAATAAGGCAAGAACAGACTCCCCAAAGTTGTCCTCTAACCCCCACATATACATACTATGGCACACATGAAATAAAAACGTAAAAAAGTAAATTAATTAAAGAACTCTCTCTTGTAGAAACTCTTAACATTTGTGGTTTTTTTGTTTTTGTTTTTGTTTTTAAACTGCTTTAAATTGTACTATTTGTGGCGGGAACAGGCAGAGTCCACCTTACCATCTCATGGAGAAGCATTGCTTCAGTCCTGGCCCTGAGGCTCTCTTGTGGAGCGGTTGTCTTCAGCTGGCCAGCCCCCTGGCTGTCCTCCACCACTTCCTCTGCATTTGGCCTCTTCTCTGCTTCCCTTGAAAGTTGAGAGCCCAGGGCTAGTTCCAAGGATTTCTTCTCCACTTGGGTACCTGGGACCAGGGAAGGGCCTTGGCTACATTCCGCTGTCCCCAGGGCTTCGGGTTCTGGCATGGTGTCCTCAGGAGCTGCCTTCTTAGCGACAGAGGCTGCGGTGAGGATGTGAGGGATCAGTACAAAGAGTTCACTTCACGAAGGCACTTGCAACACCCTCCCATCACTGTCCTGCCCCCTAGCCCTGCTTCCACGGGAACTGGGGACTTCTCTCGACTCACTGCCCCCTCCTTCTTTCTGCTTTTCTCTTGACCACGTTCCTGCCTCGGATCCCAGCCATCATCTAGTCCAGTGGTTCTCAACTGGGAGCCATTTTGCTCCAAATTCCCCCAGCCCTCCGGGGGCATTGGTAATGTCTGGAGACATTTTTGGTTGTCACAGCATTGGGGGAGACGAGTCTTATTGGTTCTTAGAGCACAGCTTTTGAAGCTGTGGGTTGTGCCCGCCTATGAGGTCATGTAACTGAATGTGCAGGTCGTAAAAATGTTGGCAAGAGTGAAAGGTTTCTGAATAGACAGCAGCCAAAATGAATTCAAAATCAAATGGACAGTGAATCTTTGACGTTCCTTATAGTGCTCAACTGTGTAGCATTGTAGTTTCACGGTAGTCTCGGTTCTGAACACTGTGTTGCCATCATGCCAAGCAACACCAACAAATACTGGCTGTTATACCCTGGTTCAGATTTGAGATTAATGTGCCAGGAATTGCAAATTGCAATGTTTGATGTGTATGTGTGTGTGTGTGTGTGTGTGTGTGTGTGCGTGTGTGTGTGTTGTTTACCCACTTGCTTGCTATGAGGTTTTGGGAAAATTACTTATTCCTCTCCAAGCAAATGGAGATTATCTAATAATAATTACCTGTGCCTCTGAAGGTTGCCTTGAGAAGTGAGATTATACACGCAACACACTTAGGCTATGTCCAACAACGTAAGGGGTACTGAAAAGCACCTTTGTTGGTTGAGATAGAAACATTTGGTTGGTTTGACTGTCAGCAAACCTTTCTGTTGAGATTCTCCCTACTCCATTTTAGGAACGTCCGTCAAAAGAGTCCTTTCTAAGTGGTTCAGGCCTGTAATCCAAGCATTAGGGAAGCAGAGACAGAGGGATCCTTTGTTGGAGACCAGCCTGACTACAAGGGAAGAAGCCCGGAGCAACAACAGAAACTCCTGCTCACCACGGTCACAGTTCTGGGACTGTATCAGCCTTGGTGTGTGAGAACTCATCAGCCTTACTCTGCGATTGCTGAAATGAAACCTAAGGAAGCATTTTTTCACAGCTGGGTTTGCTATCCCTATCCTTTGCAGATATGAGGTAGAAATGAGGAGGGATGGATGAATAGAAAATACACCCAGAAGCACAGGCCCGTCAATTCCAGCTCTGTAGCTCAGCATCCCATGACTTCTTACTCCTGAGTTCTCACCATGTGTGCTAATAAAGTAGTAAGTAACATTTACTGAGTCCTTACTATGTATTGGACGCTGCTCTGAGATCTTTGCATGTGTTAACCAAATGTTCACACAAACTTACAAGTAAGGTATGATTATTAATTAACATCAGCATTTTATACATTAAGAAACTGAGGCACAGGGGATTAACTTGGTGAAAATCCATGGCAGAGCACGGGTTTACAACAGCCATTCTGGCCCTAGAGCCCACCGTCCCAACCACCTCCCCACACTGCCTTGCAAATCCTATCAAAGCCACTTCAAACCTGGTGTTCTATCTTACAACGGAGGGAGACAGACCGTCCTGTCCCTATTTTACCTGGAAAAGACTCAGCTCCTGGAGGCTTCTCCTCTTCTGGCCACCCTCCGCTTTCTGAACCTTGGAAAGAAAACTCTTCTAGGCTGGAGAGAGACTGCAGCTCTTTGGGGGGTGTTCTGCACGGGGTGCTGTTGGTGCTGATGACCGCAGACACGCGGAGAGGCACGGAGACCGCGAAGGGCTCGGAGATGTTGAGCGCCTTCCGCTGGTGGCGCGGTGAGGGCTCCATCTGGAACAGGCTGCTGGTGAACACTGATTTGCCCGGACTGTCGTTGGAGGTGTAGAACATCCCCAGGAGTTTCGGGGCGGACTGCTCGCTCTCAGGGTCTCCGATCGGTCGGAACACCTTCAGCTGCTCAGGCAGGGGCCGGATCTGACCGCCCACCTCACAGCCCCCCTCAGCCCCAGCCGGCATCCCCTCCTGACCCCATTCGCTCTCCTTGCTGAGGTCACAGGAGCTGCCGGCGCTGCCCGTGTGCATTTTTGTGGCTGGAATGAAAAATCCACCAGTGGTGACTGTTCGATTGAAATTTCCTTTGTTTTCTTTGCCTGGTGAGGAAGAGCAAGCGGTGGTTAGCATCCTGGGTGTGCGCAGACCACGGCTTGGGGAGCCGCTTTCCTTGAAACTTGAGGCGGGGCCTGATGGTTGTTGAACAAAAAGTGGAAGAGATAACCAGCAATTCGTCCACCAAGGCTGGCACAAATGTCAATCCCTGTTGTTTGGCGATGGGTATCAACTCATATGTAACCTACTCCAACAGGGAATACATAGCAATTACCCAACTATGCTGGGTTAGCGTTTGTCAACTTGACACAAACCTGGGAACATTGAGAGACTCTCAATTGAGAAAATGCCTCCATCACATTGCCTAGAGGCAAACCTGTGGGACATGTTTCTTAATTTAGTGATCGATGTGGGAGGGCCCAGCTCACTAATGGGTGGTGCCATCATCCCTGGACAGGTGGTCTTGGATTGCATAAGAAAGCAGGCTGAGTAAGCCATGAGGAGCAAGCTAGTAAGCAACACTCCTCCATGGCCTCTGCTTCAATTCCTGTCTCCAGGTTCCTACCTCAGGTTCCTGCCCTGACTTCCCTGAGACAGTTGCAAGATAAATAAACCCCTTTCTCCCCAAGTTGCTTTTTGTCACGGTGTTTTATCACAGCATCAGTCAGTGTTAACTGGCACGAACTAGCCTATCAGTTCAAAACGTCAACGGAAGCACTGTGAAACTCATGGTCAGAAAACTCACAAATTCAAGACACATAATCATTATGGAATAAATCAGTGTTTGGCTTTCTTCTAGGTTCCCTCTGTCTTAGTTTTTAGCTTGTTGACCTTTATTACTGTGGTCTAATTTTGAGTGAAAAGTTCCTATGATCCCCTCTGTGGCCTGAGGAAAGTTGGAAAAAGGGAAGGTTCTAGATCTTTTTTTTTTAAACAATTTATTTATTTTTAGTTTATGTGCAATGGTGTTGTTTGCACATGTGTCTGTGTGAGGTTCTCAGATCTTGGAGTTAGACAGCTGTGAATTGCCATATGGGTGCTGGTAATTGAATCTGGGTCCTCTGGAAGAGCAGTCAGTGCTCTTAACCACTGAGCCATCTCTCCAGCCCTCTAGATCTCTTTTTGGGATGAGCTAGGGAGTAGTTTGGGGCTAGATAGTCGTGTGTAATGTAACTGCAGGTAATCGGCTGGACACTAATTGTAGAATCTCACTGTGATGATTCAAAAGAGAACGCCCCCCACCATACACTCATACATTTGCATGCTTAGTCCCTAGTTGGTGGACTGATCAGATTAGGAGGTGTGGCCTTGTTGGAGGAAGTACTTAAGTGGGGGAGGGCTTTGAGGTTTCAAAAACCCACACCAGGTCCAGTGTCTCTCTCTCTTCCTGCTGCCTGTGAATCAGGATGTAAAGCTCTCAGCTACTTTTCCAGTACCATGCCTGTCTGCATGCCACCATGCTCCCCGCCATGATGACAATGATGACAATGGAATCTCTGAAACTGTAAGCAAGCCCTTAATTAAATGCTTTCCTTTATAAGTTGCCCTTGGTCATGGTGTCTCTTCACAGCAGTAGGATAATAACTAAGATGCTCACCTTCCACAGGCACTGAACACAGTGAGTCCATGCTTTTAGCTGGTCGGATAGTAGCCTTTTCCACTAAAGATAAAAGAAAAAATACCCCTGATAAATACATACCAAGAAGAAACATTCAGGACAATAGGTCAGGCTATCAGCATATGAGAAAAATTTCCAGGAAACTATTTCAAGTAGTTATAACATATTATCTCCTTACAGAATTGCCCCCACTCCCCTCTACACGTCCCCACTTTCCTAATGGGGACTGAACTTATAACAAGAGGGCACAGATTAGTTTTATTAATATGTTACCAATAAAGGTAATTGTAATTTTGTCAAATGAGAAGTCCCGAATCCAGTTTAATTGTACAAAAAGTGCCCAATGACTTTGTGGTTAAGAGTTTGCTCTTTCTTTTCTTTTTGTTTTGGTTTTCAGAGACAGGGTTTCTTCTATGTAGATCTGGTTGTCCTGGAACTCACTCTATAGACCAGGCTGGCCTCGAACTCACAGAGATCCACTTGCCTCTGCCCCCCGAGTGCTGGGGTTAAAGGCGTGCAGCACCATGCCCAGCAGATTATACCTTTTTCATGTATAAAAGACAACGGAGTTGCTAAGACTAAATGAGAAATGACTATAGAGTAACCGTGTTGTTCTAAACTAGAATAAATACTCAATTAAAAATAACACATAGTGAGTTCCAGACCAGCTAGGGCTACAGAGTGAGAACCTGTCTTACAAAACAAAAGAAAGCATACTGTTTACGACTGTTTCGACCAGCCAGTGCTCACCGCGGGGGAAGACAGGCGGTTGTTCTACAAGAAGCAGCTGGAGTTGGCACTAACTCAAACCGGGCAATAACTCATGCCTTGTTTTATTCCTCTTTTTAGAATTCCCCCTCTTTCTCCCCTTAATCCAAACGCTCCTCTTCTAAGAGGCTCTGATTTAGACAGTTGGCCTCCTCCATTTGGGGATTCTCTGACTCTGCTGCATGGGAGGAAAGCCTCTGCTTCCCTCAAGCTCTCCAAAGCCTCAAGAGCCCCCAACCTCCTCACTCTCAATAGCATGCCAAGATTTTTCCCCTTCGAGAGCTGCTGTTTGTATAGGATCATAAGCTGATTTATCATCTTAAAGCTACTTGGCTGGCGTCCCTCGTCTGTCTGTGTATTCTGAGAAACGCTTTGCCTTTGTTTCCTGTATCTTTCTGTCTCTGGACTCCGGTTTCCATGTGTTGACCTGAAGGGGCCGGAACCAGGTAATCATGAAGTAACCACGAGTCAGCGCCTTCCATCCATCCAAGCTCTGTAGCTTCCACCGAAAGCTCCCAAGCATTCCAGGGCATCTTCTCTTCGTAGTAACTAAAAGCTTAGTTGGACCCCTTGGCTCACGCCTATACTTAGAGGATATTTTTGCCCGAGGTGTTGATCTGGCCTCCTGGACCCACCAGCCCTATGTTTTTTAAATATATGAATAATCTCATGTAAACCAGGCTGTCTTTGAACTCTATGGCTGAGGATGACCTTAAGATCCTAATTCTCCTGCCTCTACCTCCTAAGGGCTGAGATCACAGGCCGCTACCATGCAAAACTTGTGCAATGCTGGCGGGCTGAACCTTGGATGTCTTGCATCCCAGAGAAGAACTCCACTGAACTTCATATCCTCAGCTCTCACCCCCTTTGTGGTCTTGGTCCCTTCTGATGATTCCTTCACTCAAAGGTAAAGTCTCCAGCCCTATGACTTTAGGGTTCCTCTGCATAGGAGTTTATTTTAACATAAAACAAAATTTAAAGATTGAAACCAGTGTCTGGAATTTGCTTCAAAGTTTATGCATCTGTGTTCAGTCACTGCTTCATTTTTTTTCCCCTTACACTTTCTTATCTGTTTAGTTTGTTTAAATGTGCTGGAACATGTCCCTCTCTCCGCTGCCAACCTAATAAATTCCCAATAGTATCCATGGTTAATCAATTTTAAAAATGCCCTTCGGGGGCTTGGGAAATGGTTCAATAGGTAAAGTGCTTGCTCTGCAACATGACAACTGAGTGTTTGGATCCCCAGCATCCACATAAAAGCCAAGACTAGCAGCATGTGTTTGTAACCACAGTGGTTGGGAGATAGAGACAGGTGTGTGTGTGTGTGTGTGTGTGTGTGTGTGTGTGTGTGTGTGTATGTGTATGTATGTGTGTATTGGGGGTGGGGTTTCTTGTCATTCAGTCTAGCCAAAGTTGTTCAGTGAGAGACCATGTCTTAATATAACAAAACAAAATAAGGTGGAGAGCAATAGAGGAAGACACCTGGCATTAACCTCTAACCTCTGCATACGTGGGCACACATACTTGTACACATATGTGCACACACCCAAACATACTCCACACACACATACACAATTTTTAAATACCCTTTGCCATGGAAATTTTAACACCTTGTTTAATATGTGAATCCACCGATTTCCCCCTTTCGTATTCACACACCAAAGTATTGCCACCCTGTGTGCTACTAAGCGACCGCACTGGGAGATTACATTACGAACTTCTGTGGCCTCTCTTTGAGTCTAGATTCTGTCCACTAGCCGCACCTTGCAGTCCTGAGCTTTAGTTTCTAGCATTCTGAGCAATGCAGTTCTGGCTAAATCGGGCCACTCTATTGACAATGACTCTAGTTTAGACTCCAGGAGTCACTTGTATCGACATCCACTGCTGTGGGATGGTCTGTATGTGCACTGATTGGTTAATAAATAAAACACTGATTGGCCAGTGGCCAGGCAGGAAGTATAGGCGGGACTAACAGAGAGGAGAACTGAGAGAACAGGAAGGAGGAAGGAGACACTGCCAGCCACCGCCATGACAAACAGCATGTGAAGATGCCGGTAAGCCACGAGCCACGTGGCAAGATATAGATTTATAGAAATGGATTAATTTAAGCTGTAAGAACAGTTAGCAAGAAGCCTGCCCCGGTCATACAGTTTGTAAGCAATATAAGTCTCTGTGTTTACTTGGTTGGGTCTGAGCGGCTGTGGGACTGGCGGGTGACAGAGATTTGTCCTGACTGTGGGCCAGGCAGGAAAACTCTAGCTACAAATGGCACCCAATGGGTTGGCAAGAGTTTTCACCTAAAACCTGAGAAAAAAGATTCTAAAACGGCGCTAAAACCAGTTCCTAGTTGTCTTTCTCAAGTTAGACTTTCAACCCTGATTGGATGGTAGAACTACGTAGGGGGCTTTTAAAAATCCCGGATACTCAGCCCTTCCCATAGACCTCTCGAGCAGAAACTGCTGTGGCTGTGAGCCACTCTCTGGGGGACTCTGAGAGACTACCCTGTTGAGCACATGACACCTCAGGAACTCAACCACCATTTGGTCCAGCACCTTGGGTTTGTGCCTTTTGAAAAATTACCTGGGGGTAGTAAAACTCTTTCTAATTCAAGATCACAGCCCATCATGCATTTCATCTTTGTTCATTTTGTTCTCTTGGGTTTTGTCTTTTTATTTCTGGCCTCTCCCATTCTGTAACAAAGCCTCTCTTTGATGTGCTTAGGCAATCTCTCATCATAGACGAGGCGTTTCCTGTCAGGTACTCACATTTCCTCCCACACTGTCCTCAGAGAGTCCTAATTTCTTATTTGTATCAGTTCAGCATGCTGTGACACTCAGTCCTTGTCACTTGGACTAGTTTTGCATTTGATGAAAGGTGTGTTTACCACACAGCTGTTACAGCTGGCTACCCAGAATCCCTTTCCCTTTGCCCTCTTTACAGAGTTCTTGTACTTCTAGGTTTAATTTCCATTCCTCGTACCAGTGGTTGGTTCAGAACCTAGGTTAATCAGCCCCAGGAACCCCTTTGGCCACAGGGACTGGTCCTGTGACCCAGTGAAGGCTCCCGGGAACAGAGAAGACTCAAGGCAGGATACTTGATGAGAACTGTTGAGCAAGCTACCAGAAATGACATGCCTTCTGCCTTTGGGGACAGAGATGCTCAAAGAGAAAAGCTGTCTCTCGTTACCACAGCCGAGGAAGGCAGTCTAGAGTAGTACTGACATGGAGAGAAGAGAAGAGCTGGGGAAGGCAGGATGAAATGGAGACACAGCCATCGTGGCAGGTCACCCCTAAGTCTTCTCTCTATCGGAATGCCCAGTTCTGTCTCTGAACTGACTTTATTATTTATTTATTTATTTATTTTTAACGTTTATTATGTATACAGTGTTCTGTCTGCTTGTATCTCTGCACACCAGAATAGGGCACCAGACCTCATTACAGATGGTTGTGAGCCACCATGTGGTTGCTGGGAATTGAACTCAGACCTCTGGAAGAACAATCACTGCTCTTAACCTCTGAGCCATCTCTCCAGCACCCTGACTTTATTCTTATTTATAGCAGAAATCACTGTGACAGCTGTCTGCTGTACATCCCTACGGCAGGTAAATACAACTCAGGTTTCTAATATTTCTATTTTCTGGCCCTTGTCTTGAAATTACCACTCTGTCTGCATAAAGGAGTTAGAGATATCGCCTCTCACTTTCCCTATAGGAGTTCATTTCTTCCCAACACTTACTGAATATTTCAAACGTTCATGAACGTTAAAGGCTTTTCTACACCTGCCATCTAGTTTCAATGGTTACTGACATCTTTCTGTGTATTGAATTTGTCCATTCTATACCTACTTTTCCCTGAATTATTAGAAAGTGAGTCTTGATATTTTGACATTTCATCTAAGTACTTCAACTATAACATACACCTCCCAAGAACCATTAAGACACTATAAAATTTAATAATTCTTCAAAATCACCTAGTAGCCAACGCATACCCACAGTTTCCTATTGTCTTTGTAGCTTTTTTTTTTTTTTTTTTTTTTTAAGAAAACGAACCAACCAACCAACCAGGATCCAGATGAGATTTGACCCTTGCATTTGTGCGTCCACATGTTGCACTAAATCATTGCGGAGGTCTTCCTTGGCCTTCCCTGACACAATATTCAGGATGGGTTGACTAGATTCTGTATTATGTAGTGGTTCCCTCAGTTCCTCCTTTTATCAGTTTCTTTTCTTTGCTCAGAAATAAACCCATGGGGGAGCACCCCAGTTAGAATCACGACACTGAGGGTGAAGGGACCGACCTTTCTGACAGCAGAATTCCAACTAATAGACAATAGCTACTTGGGGAAAACGACAGAAATAACTGTTGCGGGCAAGACCTAACCAGTGCTGCTGGAATACACGACACACAGCACTTTAACCAAGTCACCCAAACCAACCTTACACACAATAATCGGCATCATGGACCTCTCGACATGACCCAGAGGTGGGCAGGACACAGCCTTTGTAGAATGTCTGGAAATTTTATAACTTTAAGTCTCCCCACAAGAAAACCTCAGTCACGCCCAGATGTGGGAACAGTTCTACAATATAAGGGATGGTGTTCTTCCAAAGTATCTCGTTGAGAGACACTAAAGAACGTTTCTACCTTGGAGGAGACTGAGGACATTTGAAGATGTACTTCATACCAAATGGTTTGAACTTGGAAAAAGTCCAGAAAAAGACATTAGTGGGACAATTGGTTAAGTATGACTCTTAAGATACAGAAATCAGTTAATAGTATTGTATTCATATTATCGTTTTGTTTTGATAATGGTTTTATAGTCGTAATGTTAACATTAAGGGATTTCATGGAAGGTCTAGACATTGAACACTTTTGTAAGTAAAACATAATCATCATCATCTTAAAAAAAAACCTAGTGAATCTGATTTTTTTTTTTAACTAGCTAATGTGAAGTGACCAAGTGTGAAACCTGGCTAAGAACCACAGGTGTGTCGGAAGCCATGGTGCTAATCCTCACCTGAAAGCCTCTGCCCTCTCACGAACACACTCCCATTTCTGCTCAGCTTAGATTTCGAGTCCGATCCAGAACGCCCCAGGTTAAATATTGATTTCCACTTCTTTGATTTACTGGAAAGCTTTCTCCTAAAATAACCAAGCCACACAGGTTAGCTGAACTTGTCATTTCAAGGCAGTGTTTCATTTTGAGACAGGGTCCTCAATAGACCAGGCTGGCTTGAACTCATGATCCCTTCTGCCTCAGTCTCTCAAGGGGGGTTGCAAATTGAGAGAGAACATTGCAGTTACAGTCTCAGTCATGAATGGCTTTGATAGTTCCAGAAGTTTACCTCTAAAATCCAATTTGCACCTGACTATAGCCTGTCTGGGGATGCCCTGAGTGATCAAACAAGTTGCACTAAATCATTGCCAAACAAGTTAAGGCAAAGACCCTTCTCCTCGGAACAACAGCCAAAGTTGGCTGTCTGTCAAAGGCGGGGGTGGGAGGCAGGCAGTGGTCAGTGGGATGCTCAGAGCTCACAAGCAAACGCACAGTTCTGAAATCTGGTAAGAAGTCTACGGAGCTCTGTAGTTCTGACTCTTCAAACATGCTGAAGTTTTTTAAAAAAAGAGGAGTAAACAAGCCAGAGGTGGTGGTACACACCTTTAATCCCAGCACTAGGGAAGCAGAGGCAGGTGGATCTTTGTGAGCTCGAGGCCAGCCTGGTCTATAGAGTGAGTTTCAGGACAGCCAGGGCTAGGTAGAGACACCCTGTCTCAAACAAACAAACAGACAGACAGACAGACAGACAAACAAACAAATGAGGAGTAAACAATTAGGACCATAGACCCTAGTTCTGTGCTTTCTGCCTGGTGGCCATAGGGCTAGGATATGTACAGGTGAGGTGAGGGCTGATAAACACTCAAAATGGAAGGATGAGAAAGTAAACCAGGAAAAGGATGTGTTCTGGTGCTGTTGGGGAGAGCTGTGGCCTGCCAGCTAGGTCAGTGGTCTTTGTAAAAAAAAAAAAAAAAAAAAAAAAAAAGCACAAGGATCAGCAGTCTCCCACCAGGCTGTTTGGGCCTGGGACTGGGGCTGTGGGTAGGTGACACAGCATTAGGCCGGCTCATGAGAACCTGGTACCACTAGGGGTCACCACAGAGGCAGGTCCTTCTGCAGATCCACCCAGTCCCAATCTGGAGTGAAGTTCAGGGTGAAACCCTGTAACTTGGGGGTTCTCATAAGGAACCCTTTCTCTACAGGGCCTTCGCCGCCGCCGAGCACTGGGTCTCGGCCTTAGCAGGTCCTCAGGATCAGTCAGAGACAAGTTTGCACACTTGTTGGTTTCTCTGTGCCTTGGCTTGCTGGCCTGCGCACTTAGCCTTGGGGTGTAGAGAGCAGCATATATTAAGCTGGTATGGCGCTGTGGCTGAAAGCAGAGACAATGCAGGAGATGGTCCCTCTGAGATCTCCTTCTTCATCCCTGGGAGGGAGTCTTATTCTGTGTTGATTTAGAGAGGTGCTGTGTGTTTAGTTCTAAGAGGGTACAATCCACCCGTTCTAGGAAGCAGTGTTTTCCCAGGGAAGTGGAGGCATGCTATTCCTCCAGCACACGCCTCCTCTAGTTACCCAGGGTGGCAGATTTCTTCCTCTCTAAACAGCTTGCTATCTTGGGGAAGGGACTGGCTCATGAAACAGAAAGGATGACACCATCCAACAGAAGGTGCCTTTGCCAACTAGGCCTACTAAAAGTGTACGACACTTGCTCCAATCACTGCCTTCTTCCATGGTGGGGTACAATGAATGGGTAGAGACTAGGGTTGTAGCAGAAGAAGAAATAAGGAAAGAAGCTGCCCTGTGGGTACCAATGATGATTTGTTTTGAAAGGGAGAAGGACCAGGAGATGGCTTAGTTAATAAGGTGCTTGCCACTCAGCATGAAGACCTGAGTTGGAGCTGAAATCCCAAGTAACAAACTGAATATGGGGGTACATGCTTGCAATCCCAGTGTTTAGAAGACAAAGACAGGGGAATCCTTTGGGCTTATGGACTCGCCAGACTAGCCTACTCCACGAGCCCCAGGCCAGTGGTGAACCATGTTTTAAAAGAGAGAACAAAAAGGGAGGTAGTGTCTGAGGACCAAGCTGTTCCCTGGCCTCCACACACCTGCAAGCCTGCACACACAGGTCGACATGAACACATACAAGCGTGCATATAGATAGACAGACACAGAAAGGAGAGGGGCTGTGTTCTCTGGCAGGTTGAGAAGAGGCAAGGAAGTCAGACATGCCATCCCCAAGTGCTGCCACCGAGAACTCTCTGCCTAGAGTGGCACCATTTGTCAACCTGTATTCTGTCGTAGGCTCAGCTCTATGCCTTTCCCAGTGGTCAGGCCGGGGTGGAGGTCATGGGGAGGGAGGTAGATATCTTTGGCAGCTCACTTTTGTAAACCCCAGGGCTGTTTTGTCTACTCTACGGGGGAAGAGTCTCATGACTCACTTGGTACCTCGGGCGGGCCTTTGGTAGGAGACCAGAGCTCGCAGTAACCACTTGGGGCAGTGGGTGAAGGGCATCATTGTGAATGATAGTGAAAATTGTGAAGACAGCTCCCTTCTCTTCCAGAACATTTCTTTGTACCCCACCTGGGCTGCACCCCTATCCATTTTCATGGCCCCGAGACTGGACACCTCACCTCCTTCGTCCCCCTCCACCCACAAATCCTTCAGAATTCTGTAAGAATGCCAATTACTTGTTGTCTGGTAACTCAAGGACTGTGTGGAAGAGGGTGCCCACGGGAGGGACGATCTCAGGCAGGCTGTTCTCTCGCCTTTCCTTTCGAGCCGGGTGGTTTGTTGCCAGGCTTCGGGCCTGAGCCTCCTCCAGGCTTACCAACTTCATGGGCAGGGACAGGGCTGGCAAGGTCAGGCTCTTTGTGATGGTACGGCTTTCTGTCAACCAAAGAAAGGAGTTTAGCTGGGGGCAGGTCTGAGCTCCAGGCCTAGTCAGATCTCTCCTCTATACCCCTTCCCACTTGAACTCGACAGAGGGCCGCGTGCCAACGGTGGCTTTTCTTTGGCACGGGGGAGTCTAGGGTAGAGGTTGCCCACAGGAAGCTGTCGGCTGTCCTGCTCACAGTGGGTGGAGGGCAAAGAGGGGCTTCAGGAGGGCAACTGCTTTCTGTACTTTCCATGGAGTGACTGTTCATAGACTCATTCATTCATTCTACAAATATTTATTGAGCACTTACTGTGATCCAGAGTTACAGCAATGAGTCCTTAATCCCCACAACTCTGCTAAGTGCTTTGGTCAGCTAGGAATGTGGCTTAACTCAGCTAAGATGGAGTAGGAGGCTGCCCTTCCTCCCCACAGCTGAGGAACACGTTCTCTAAGGCCGTGGATGTCTGGAGTCTACTTTTCCTAGGCATCTGTCTCTAGAGGGACAGACTGTTTATATACTGTGCCATTCCCTCAGAGAGAGGTGGCTCTTTCCTCAGCACCTACTTGTCTTGTGGTGTTTATATTATAGCCAGTTGTCCCTCTTCTAGGGTATTCCTTTTACAGTGGAAGTGATGAAGGCATGGCTGATGTACAAGGTTCTCCCTTCTCTGCCCTCCCTCTACCCAAGGATATTTGGCAATGTCTGGAGACGTTTTATTTCACTTTGTTTTTCTGAGATAGGGTCTTGTGTAACCCAGCCTGGCCTTGAATTTGCTACATAACCAAAGATGACTCTGAACTTAGGATCCTTCTGCATCTACCTCTCCAGTGCCATGACTGCTTGTGTGTGCCACCATGCCTGGCTCTGGAGACGAAGACATCTTCTCCTTCTCCTTCTCCTCTTCCTCTCCTTCTTCCTCCTCCTCTTCTTCTTCCTCTTCCTCCTCCTCCTCTTCTTCTTTCCCTCCCCCTTCCCCTTCTCCTTCTTTTTCTTCTGATTAAAAATTATTATTTACATGTGTGAGTGTATGTCATGTGTGTACAGGTGACCTCAGAGGCCAGAAAAGGAGTATTAAGTGGCCTGAATCTGGAGTTGTGGGCTGCTGGAAACCAACTCCAGTCCTTTGGAAGAGCAGCAAGTGCCTCTACCCACTGAGCAACCTCTCTAGCACCCTCTGGGGACATTTTTTGGTCATTACAAATGCATGTGAAGGAGCTGTTGGCACCTGGTATCTGGGGCACTTTCTTGATTAATGATTGATGTGGGAGGGCCCAGCCTATTGTGGATGGTGCCACCCCTAGGCAGTTGGTTTTGGGTATAAAAAGACAAGCTGAGACAGCCATGAGGAGCAAGCCAGTAAACAGCACTCCTCCAGGGGTCTCTGCTTCAGCTCCTGCCTCCAGGTTCCTGCCTTGAGTTCCTGCCTTGACTTCCCTTCATGAAGGATAGTAGTAAGCTGTGAGATGAATGAACCCTCTCTTCCCCAGGCTGCCTGTGGTCATGGTGTTTATCACAACAATAGAAAGCACATTAGACACTCTCCCAGCATGGACTCTCATGACAGCATTGACATCACAGGGGACTTCTTAGAAGTACACTTGTTTTTTTTTCTTAAGCCACACTCTAGACTGTTAAAAGCAGGAAGATTTGGGATGAGGCTCAGTAATCTGTGTCCCCACAAGCTCATCCATCATCAGGTGAAGGTGACAGACACGTATGTTGTAAAACCACTTTTAAACACAAATGGTCACTGACATAATTCCGATCGACTAGATTCCTGTTATTATTTATTATTGTTATTGTTATTATTATTGTTATTATTATTATTTTGTTTTTTTTGAGACAGGGTTTCTCCATGTAGTTTTGGTGCCTGTCCTGGATCTTGCTCTGAAAACCAGGCTGGCCTCGAACTCACAGAGATCCACCTGGCTCTGCCTCTTGAGTGCCGGGATTAAAGGCATGCACCACCGCTACCCGGCCTGTTTTTGTAATTATTATTATTATTATTTTTATAAATGAAGCTCATAGACATTCAAACAGCACAGACCAGTTCACACCTAGGGCTCACTGTACCGTTACAAGCCCCACACAAGCACAATTATTTTTGTATGCCTCCTGCCTGATACAGGGCAGGATAAAGTTCGGGAAATGGTTGCACAGAGAACGTAAGTGTAGACAGCCTCTGCTCACTTACGACTTCAAGGGGAAGGCGTGAGGCTCTTCTAAACTTAGTGAAAACCACAAAGGAGAAGAACCTTGCCCATACCTTTACATAATAAAGAACTCACTAGAAAGAGAACATTGTCTCAGTTCTACCCCAACACCACATCCCAGGGAGAGGCCATGTATGCACCTGATCAGAAACGTGCTAAATCCACATGCAAATGCAACCACTGCTGTATCATACAGATACATACCTAACACCGTCATAGTGGCCAGTATCTGCAGCACTATAACAGTGAATTATCACAGATAACAAAACACAGCAGTTGGCACATGATACGGTATTCAGTCAGAACTAAAGCCAAGACCACCCTCACTTATTATTAGATGTTTGAGACAGTGTCTCACATAAGCAGCGCAGACTGACCTTAAACTCTCTATGTAGGCAAGCCTGACCTGGAATGCCTGCTTTTCCCGCCTCCGCTTTCATACTCACTTTTTTGGGGGGCTCTAGGATTAGGGCAATAAGGGAGGTTAGGTGTGTGGGAACTATGCCAGGGGGAAGCCATTACCATCCTGCTGCAGAGGCCCTGGAGCACCACTGTTGAAGATTTGATCGGCATGATTCAGTATGAACTCAATCACCACCTGCTGGACCCGGACTGCCAGAAAGGCTGCGTCTCCGTTACAAATAGTGGCTTCGATCTTTTTACACCTGCGCGGGAGAAACATCCAGAGTGACTTCACCTTATAATAGGAGGCAGTGAGTCTTTTGTATAGGCCACATGTTTTAACTTTTCATGACCAACCAGAGAGAGAGACTCCCAATGGTAGTGAAGCCAAACCCACTAAATAGACTGGAAATCGCTGTCACACGACTATAAACATTGTCCATAAATGTACAGGACTGACTTCTTTTTACTTCATGGGGCTCCCTTCCACCTTTATCCAGCTGTCTCACATGCATTGCATGAAGCAGCTGATTGAAGTTAGAGGCATCTGTGACCTCACCAAAGCCAAGAAAAGCCGATGAGCCCCGGAGGGGGGAAAAAAAAGGCCTTTTCAAGAAATGGTAACATACAGAGCCATAACTTTAGCCACACTGGGATTATGGCCAACAAATGCCTTTGGAACCAGAGTTTCCAAGCTAGCAGGCCAAGAGCTTAAACTTTTAAAGGCACTTTTGATTCATATATGCTATAAAAAGATGACTGAGCCATAGGTCTGTCTTCCATGGTTCTAGCTTTGAAGCACTCAGGCTTTGTTGCTGCTCAGAGCAGTGCAGGCTGCTGTGAGCCCGTGGGGTGGTAGTTACCTGAGGAGGTTTGGGGCCCACACCAGGGCCAGGTTCCTGGCATGCATGTTGGTCTTGCTGCTGAATGAGGCGATGTGGGCCAGGTGTCGAATCAGGTATTCCAAGGTCCTGAAACAGTTCATGTCTTTGTTGGATTTTTTGCGAAGTGAGACATGTCAGCACCTACGTGACATCTGTCACTTGAAGGTCCCGACCAGGTTGGGATTTAAGACAATCTGCATTATGAACTTTAAAGGAACAGTGGGAAGAGATCAAGGAAGGTAGCTTTCTCGACTCCAGGGCCACTGACTCAGGAAGGGGGCAGGTGTCAATGTTGTCAGATGTCATCGGAAACCGCTGGAGCAGATCCACAGACAGGAACAGGGAACCACAGACCGCACACCCTGAGCAGTTAGCGAACAACTTGTTTCTTTTCCACCTTGGGAAAATTCACCTCCCCACGGTCCTCAAAGAGGGTCTCATTTTGATTCTTAGAGGACATCCGTATAGCTACAGACTAACTTGGTTCTTGTTAATGGGCTCATTTCACAGACAAGTATTTGTTGATCACAACGAAGCTCTTTTTAACTCCACATCAAACTCCACCCCCACTTTGAAAGGTAAACGGATGTAGGTAACACTGAGAAAGTTAGTACCATGTGGGCTAATCTGTGGGAATAGAAAGGATGAGGATGATGTCTGGGCTATTTTTAAGGAGCCAGTAGAGATAATAGCGCTGAAGAGTCACCATCACCCCCAGCTTTAAGGCCATCTGGGACTCCAAAGGTTTGTTTGTAGCATAATTCTGGCTATGAACCAAGGATGTCACCATGAGGCTGGCTTGTGTGATAGGGATGACTTTTGGGGGGACTGTCTTGAGTGCCCTGCCAATGAAGACAGATTTGCCCTTGGCTGCTAATGTCCCTGGTTGGATATCTGCTCATCCTGATAACACTTGACTATTCAGGAATTTCCAAATGTCCCCAGGAAAGCCACCATCCATTTGTGTCAGTTGCCACACCTCCCCGCCTCCTTGATGTTTGACCACACTGAGTCTGAATGGTTCTTTCTTACCTATAATGGGGTGGGGGCAGCTCCTGGATAACATTCTGGATTCGGGCTAGCTGTCCTTCTTCCGGGCAATGAGACACCGCTTCCTGTGGAGAAGAACATGAAGTACCCAGTGAGTACCCAGGAGCCAGCATCCTTCCTGCACCCCCTGGTCTTATTTAGGACTCAGGTCCTCCAGCCTCACAACCGTGTGCTTGCAGATCCCATCCCAGAAGCACCCTTGTCTGTATCGGCAGCCAGCCGAATGCTCTTTCTGAGTTTCACTGAGTCAAGCGTCTTCACCCTGTATGCACACAGGAGGGGGGTGTCTCTGTGTGCCCTCAGATGTTGTTTTGTGTCCAGAAAAGAATGTATAGGATCTAAAAGTGTCTTGCATGGCAGAGAGTCATAGACACTCACACTCAGAGAGACAACATTAGACAGAGATGTCACAGGGACACAGGTTTACTCAGTCCTCGTGGGTGTGAACAGCTACTTACTTGTCACCTAGCCTGTGTCTATTCTATGACTTCCAGTCCTCAGTTGCTGCCTGTTTTGGCTGCCAAGGAGCAGAAAAGACGTGCCTTCCTTATCAGGGATAAGAGTTTCGTCCCCAGGATTTGGTGGCCTCGCCCTGATTTGCTCTCTGCTTATATCCTGTGTGGGCATTTTGTTCCCGTCAGTGCAGGGCCTTGCAGGGGGAGGCAGCGACACCATGAGGACAATGTGATGACAGGCTGGCTGGTGTCCATCTCTCACTAGCCTGAGGCTGCTGTGTGCCGCCAACATCCCTGAAGGTTCTACAGTTCCAGCCCC